ATTTCTGAATGACCATGTGACTAGAGTAACGATGCTAAAAATTCACCTTTGAAATCACAGGAATAAATGTCATTTTAAAATTTTTATATAAAAAAATCTAAATGTTACTGTTTTTGCTGTACTTTGGATCAAATAAATGCAGGCTTGGTGAGCAGCAGAGACCTCTTTAAAAAATCTTACTGTTCAAAAACTTTTGAATGGCAGTGTACCTAAGTATGTCATGATAATACTTACGCCTACAAGGAAACATTTTACTTTTTAAATAATTTGTTGTGCTAAAGAAATTAGTTTAAATATGTTAAGATACACAGACTGATCTCAGGCCTGTTTGCAGTTTATATTGATGATCCAAGCTAAATAAATAAAACTTTATTTATAAATATATTTTATTCCTAAATAACTATTCATGATAAATTATAAGTTAAGATACACAGACTGATCGTAGGCCTGTTTACAATTGATATAGATGATTCTAGCAGATCTCCTACAACTTTAGTACTTTGAAGTGCACTTTGTGTGAAGATGCAGTACTACACAGCATTCAACATAATTTCCTTTGTCTCCAGACACTGAACTAACCTGTACAGTCATGCCATGCTCACATCTCTGATCGTTCTCTGATCTCTCTCAATATCACGCACATAAACACTCTCCTCCACACACACACACACAGGTTTGTTTTTATGGTTTATAGGCGTAATGGTTATTATACTGTACAAACCGTATTTTCTATTGCCCTACACCAACCCTACCCCTAAACCTACCCCTCACAGGAAACTTTCTGCATTTTTATATTTTCAAAATAACTCATTCTGAATTATTTATAAGCCTTTTGAATTACGGGGACACTGAAAATGTCCTCATAAATCACCTTCTCGTCATAATACCCATGTAATACCCATGTTATTATACAAATTTGTGTCCTCATAAACCACATAAACATGCACACACACACACTTTTTTCTCAATAATAAGCTGTAGTTTCTGCAAAAAGGCTAATTACGCCCTAGCTGCTAATTCAATCACAGTGACAAATCAATTGGTCAATTCTATTTCTTTCAATTAGGTTTGACTCGTGCAGTCCAATTACATTTTACTGTTATCTTCTCCTTTATGATGATTCTCTAGATAATTTGATAAATGGATATTAGTCAATGACAGGTCTTTATAAAGACAGACTGTCATGTTTTAAACTCTTTCTAAATGTTGATGAAAATATTCCATGTAATGTCTTTAAACAATGGTATTAAAGTAATTATAAAGCAAACACATGCTGAATAGTACTGAATCTCTGTACAAGCCTCGTTACTAATGTGTTCTCTGTTACAAACGCAACAACACGTTAATGTGTTTGTGTGAAAGCTGTAGGCTACGGTTTGTGAGCTGCACTCTTATGTTGTGGTACATCCTTCATTACCAGAGTTCTGAAATTAAAATCTAATTTTGCTGAATGTGGTGAAGGGCCCTAAGGAATCATCTTCTACTTCTCTTTCTCTTACACCGCCGCCGCCGCCACCTCTCTCTCTCTCTCTCTCGCTCTGTCTGTGTGTGTGTGTGTGTGGGGGGGGGGGGGGGGGGGGGCATTTGCAGACAAAGAAAACAAATGCTTGA